TTTGTGATGAAGAGTGAGCATTGAAGTCGATCCACGTCAAGGAAGCTCAGCGACAGTTTCGCGTCGAAGATAATGACCAAACTAATCCGCAACCAAGCGTCCCCAAATAGATGCCATGAGGCACGCTGGCTAATACGTTACACTATTTGCTGGGGACCACAAAAATTATCTGAAGAACTGAACGGATTGGTAGCATTCAAACACAAACTCAGTAAAGAAAGTTAAGGTGAAAACATTATTCTTTAGTTCTAATTGAATTCAATAGAATTCAAAATAAAATTAAATAATACTTAATCATTAATTCAAATATTTATTAAAATCTTGACCCTAATTTGACATTGGTATCCAAATCATGAAATAGGCTTATACAGAAGGTACACTTGAGATTTTAGAGCTCATTTTATTAAAGAAATTACATCAAATGGATTGGAACTGATAACATAAAACTGCATGGGCAGCAAATAAAAAAGTTAACTATGTAATTATTACATAGTTAATTAGTTCGCTTAATTATTACATAGTTACATGAGTAAATTAAAAAAATAAGAGGATTCTGCCAACTGCACATTATCTTAATTAATGCAATAAATGACTCATAAAAAAACATTAAACATTTAATTTTTGAAAGCAAAGTCTCTATTAAATCAAAGGCAAAAAGTATTGTAATTTCTACTAAGAAAATTGTAAATTCTAGAATAACCAGTGAACTATATACAAAGGTGTAAAATACACACTAAAACTTTTCAATGTTTACTTTGAAATAAAAAAAATCACGATTAATTCATATTTGTCTTTAAATGATTACCTGAAAAAACGAGGGACATTACGTAATGAGTGAGTGTGAGTTCTCTGCATCACATCCATAAGAGGTTTTTGTGGCTATGTCGACCTACTGATGGAAATTAAATACACTTAGAATGTATTCGCTTCCTGAATTAATGTAACAATAACATCACAATATTTATAGCAATTTTGCACAAAACCCATTTTCTTCCTTTCCAATTGTCGCAGATGTTAGCGTTCTTTCGGCACAAAACATTAAAAATAAGCTAGATCGCAAACTCCAGTCAATGCAGGGAGCGCCAGCAGCTGCTCCTGGTCCTGAAGAGGCTCTAGAGCTGGCGGCGCGCACACGATGCTCCTTCAGAAGCCGCACAGAAGACACGAGTCTGGGAGATCTAGTTTTGTGACTGGCGACTGCCACATCGAATCCACCTGCACTCGTCGCAGCAATCCTTCACTCGTCGAGGCCTAATGCGTATGCTTTGTGAAGGCTCTTTGTGTGCGGCACTTGTGCTTGGCGAGGCGAGGCAAGCTGGTACGTTACAACCACACAGACCACCTCATATGTGGGTGCGCTTGTGCTTCGCGAGAGAGCTCGGGTGTATGAACGTACAGCCGCACGTGTCGCAGCGATACGGACGTTCTCCTGTGTGTGTACGCAAGTGAGTGGCGAGGTTTGATTTCTGGGTAAAAGCCTTAGAGCAAATATCGCATCTGTACGGACGTTCTCCAGTGTGCGTGCGGATGTGATAGATGAGGTGGTGTGCATTAGCGAAAGTATTACCGCACATATCACAGCTATACGGACGCTCTCCTGTGTGCGTATTCATATGTGAAACGAGATTTGATTTGTTGCTGAATGACTTACCGCACACGTCGCAGGCATAAGGACGCTCTCCCGTGTGGGTGTGCATGTGAGTGACGAGGTTTGACTTCATGCTGAATCCTTTACCACACACGTCACAGGTATACGGCCGTTCTCCCGTGTGCGTGCGTTTGTGAGAGGCGAGGGTTGATTTCTTGCTGAATGCATTACCGCACACCTCGCAGCTAAAGGGACGTTCTCCCGTGTGCGTGCGCATGTGATACTTGAGACCATTGACGGAAGTGAAGGAGGCGGGGCACTCTCCGCAACTCAACAGAGTCTTCCGGGCTTGGCGGCTCACGTGCACCTGGCGCCCCGAGGGCGAAGCAGAAGTCTTCGCGCCCTGCGGTCTCCTCCGCCGCTGCCCGCCCCCCGCCGCCGCCCGCGTTGCCTCGTCCTCCGATGGGTGGCCCACCGCTCCTGCACACACTAAAATTAATTCTCCATTTACTGATAACTACGAACTATCAAGATCGCTTTTTGTCATACATCATTTAAATTTCTACTTTCACAGCAAGTAACTGTTCCCCGAAATGAAGATCAATTTCCTTATTACAATATTATCCTAAAATATATTAATGCATTACATGTATAATCGCTTGAAGATGCATGAAAAGAGGTAAAATAAATAGTTAATATAGGAATGAATATAGAATATGTTACGGCTAATGCCACAGTCTGGCTAATTCACATATTAGCCGTTTCACGTTCCCTACAGCCTAAATGGAAGTTTGAAAATAAAAAGTCGATACAAGCACAGCTTGGAAGTGTACTTCCGACTTCAAACTCATGAAGCTATGAATAGTCGACTATGGTAGGTGAAGTACGACCCGTTGCGATAAATAGTAGATATGTGATAAAGAGGGAATAGAGTGCTGATGGGAAAATTCTAAAGCACAGCATACGTGGGGAAGCTAGCTTGCTGACAGTCGCCACAGGGCAACTGGAAGCGTGTAACCGCTGAGGACAACGTGGTAGGAAGTTCGTAAGACAGTGGTCTGTTATGTCTCACTTGCCGGGTGCACTTCAGCTTTTGAGAGAGGACAGAAAACCGTCGACGCCGAGAAGAGACAACTGTCGCCGTGGAATCGCGCGCAGTGCAGAACACAATCGTGTTTGATCCTGGCTGTAAAGTGGGATTTTGTAATGGGTAGAACTGCGTTTTAATTTCATTGTGCATGGTTTACAAATCCATAATTGTACCTATATGTATAATGGGAAACATTAGTTTAATTAAAATATTATTTTAAAGGCTCTTTGTTATACTTCTATACTAATTGTTATTCGAATATTTTTGTAGAAAGTCGAAAAGTGATAAGAGATATTTTTGTTCATTTTCATTCGTTTGAAGAAAAGGAAAGTTTTGGGGATGAAGCCTTTCTACAGGAGGCGTCACTTAGGTGGGAAAACTTACTTATTTCAGAGTAGTGGTGGGGAGACGCAGAGAATTGTGGGTAGGTCCGTCATTATTGCCACCTTGTTAAGCAGCACCGTACAGCGACTTTTGCGAACTAATTAAAAACATATAGAAAAGTTGAGAGAACGAACGAAATTTCTCCAAAATTTGATTTTTTTGTTATAAGTACAGCAGAAATTGGAGCAATTGTTATATAACAGTTTCTCCAATTTCACTCGAGGTTTTCGCTTTTGCTACACTTTTGCTCAAGAGTTGATTGGGTAATTTTGAAGAAAATTCCGAAATATAGGCGTTGTTGGGTTTCCAATTGCCACAATAGCCGACAGGGAGATATGGAAAAGACAAGGCTGTTTTTTTTTCTTCAAGTGATCCTGAACGGTGGTGAAATTAAATATTTGGGACGATTCGTTTCGAATGGTTTCAAATTAGGATAATAAATATTTATTTATTTACAAATAGCGTGTGGGGAATTTGGAATATAAAACATCACATTTTGCTAACATAGCCTAACTGTATAATTCTAACAATTACTAACAAAAAATTATAACAATGATTCTTTAACAGTTCTTCAAATAACAAAATCAATATAATGAAAATAACAATTCTGTAACAGTTCAACTGGACTTGAAATATCTTTCCTAAACATATATAACAAATTAAGGTTATTGGCTATTTTGTTCTTAATGTATTGAATACGATCGTTAAAACACATGATTATCTATAATAACTGCAACCCATTTCAACTTTTCACCGCTAAGCACAATTGATTGTCATGATTCTACTCCTTCCCAACATTTATCTTGCCTTATAACCATACACTTTGTTTTACGAGCATTAAGACTCAAAAAATGCATGCTCAACCATTCACTAGCCAAAGATAATTCTCTATTAACCTCATAAATTTTAATTATATTAATATTATTCCCCTACTTTTTTATTCAGTTATATTTTTTGTTAGCAATAACATTAAATTGTATATTTGTTGTATTTAGCAAATTTATAAATTACAAATTTTATAATAAGTTTATGAAATGCTGATGGCAATGAGCAGGACCTAACCCTCGTTTCTCGTCTATGGAGGACATTGCTACCAAAGGTGTGTGTGCATGCCTTGGTGAGTACAGAAACCTTGTTTTATGAAGACGAGACAGCACTACATACAAGTATGTTGAATTTCAATAACGCCTCATTTTGTATTACAGACGGCTCCCAACCTGCTGGAAAAGAGAGTGCATCCTGGAGGAAGCATTTCTTCAAATATGAATTATAATACTGTCAATTTTGGTAATCTCTTAGTATTGCTGTGTGGTAATTTTGGATTTCATGAGATACGCTATAGTATGTAGTGTTGCTCATGGTCCATTCAGATCCGTAATTGTCTATTTGGCAAGTACACGATTTTTGACAGGTTTTGCAACTAATTAGAATCACTGTGAAATTTCTTCCACCAACCACATGGGCTGGAGTGTGAGCTGTTGTGGAAGTTCAAAGTGGGAGTTCAGTGCATGTAGTTGGAGATAGGGATAGTTTTCACGAGTGATTTACTTTGTTCCACTCCTGTCATTACAACGAATGTTACAAAAACTGATGCAAATCGTGTGGAAAAAGATGGGAATATGTGTGAATTAAGTCGTGGATGTAAATAGACATGCTATAAATTCTGAATTTTAATATGTACTAAATTAAGCCTGCAATAAATTAAACTGTCACATAGTTATGCATTTAAATATTTTTGAAAAGGAAGTTTTAAAGAGTATTTTTCTTGCATTTTATCAATATAAATACACTCATACGTGAACCTTTTCCATTTGGTGGAACGACAAGAATAAACGGGAGTATCATGGCACAAGCACACTTTAGCCAATGTTCCAGAAATGAGAATCATTTGCAAGTGTGAATCCCCGATAATGACCCTCCATTTAGTTTAGCATCAATGCGTATAAAAACAGCATTCAGGACTGAACAGACAATAATTACAGTACAGTACACAATAAACATTGACGCACACATACACAATATAAACACACAAGTTCATTGTTCACAATATAAATAAATTAATTCAATTTATACAAAACGTATTAGTAATAATAGTTACAAATCAACACCCTTTCCCTAAATCAACACGACTGAACAGACAACTTTTTCTTAATAATTGAAGACCTATTCAATACCCGATACAGGAATATTATTAAGTAATTCTGGGTATATGATGTACTGTGTGCATGTTTATGGTCAGGCGGAAGTGCAGGCTAAATGGCCTGAGCCTCGCCATCAATACATACATTTTATTTATTTTGTTTAAACAAGTTCAAATATATTCAGTTATTTTTTTACTCAATGCCGTTTGCTAGGATGTAATGTATCTACTTGTATTTGGTAACATGCTTTCACAACCATGTATTGGTGGCTGGCATGCTATTTTGATGATGAGACAATATTAATGAAGTAATGAGCTCTAGATGTATTTTGACTATTTTCTCAATACACGAATTCAGTATTCTTGTATTGGACCGACTGCAAAGGGAGTTGATTTGAATATATTATTAGTATTTATACTGGTTATGTAAAAATTGAATTTATTTATATTGCGTATGATGTACTTGTGTGTTTATATTGTGTATGTATACTTAAATGTTTATTGTGTACTTTATATTTACATAATTTAAAAATAAATAGTGTATATGATTTTTTTTTTTTGGACTTCCTTGACCAAAATTTTCTTCACTGACTTAGAATTCAAAATCCTATTAATTATTGGCTTCTACATTGGCTTACGCATTAATTTTTACGTAAATTACATTCTATTTAATATATCACTAAGTCCGCCATATTGAAAATTTGCTAGATAATGTAATTCCAATAGTTCCTGGTCCACGTCCATCCTCCATTTCAATTGGTAAAAAGGCTTTCGACGCTTATTGGCTGGCTGTGGGCGAAAATGGCTGCTTCTTTCTGATTCTGTTGCGGTGAGGGATTCGAAATCTCCTCTCCACGAAAATAAGAGCTTTCCGTTTAACATGGAGTGCCGTCTTTATATATATATATATATATATATATATATATATATATATA